ATAGCTGTTGTGTCCATTTGAGGATGGACCGTCTCTCTCTCTCTCTCTTCTCTCTCTAACTCTGCCTTTAAAATAATAAATGACTCTTTAAAAAATCACAAACGAATTTTGACTTTGGATTTAGAGCTATCACCAAGTGATCTCATTACTTATAGGCAAATATTCCAAATTCTGACAATACCCAAAGCCAGAACGCTTCTGGTCCCAAGAGTCTCAGATGCTGGGTCCTCAGCCTGCATGAATGTCTTGGCCCCCGTACGAGTGACCTCTGAGTAGAGATTCATTGTGGTCACTTTCAGTAATTTGCAAGTTGGTATTAGCGCACGGTCTGACGCTCCTGCTCACAGGGTAGTTTGCCGGCCTCAGATTCCCCAGGGAGGAGGCTGCCATGCTGAGCACCAGGTTGCTGGGTTTCGGTCACGACCCCTGGCCAAGTGTCTCTAAGTCGACCTTGGTCTTGAACTTTGAGTCCACCCAGGCGAGCTCAGTGGCACAGCACATTGAGAACAGGGGAACTGTGATGGATGGTGTGGGGAGCAACTCGGACTAGACTAAGTTACTGGAATTAAGACTTATTCTATGCATCTGCTCTCCCACAATATGGCGCTGGGAGAGGAGGAAACAGCTTCTACGCAGCTGCCTCTTGCCAACTTGAGTGATGACCTCCAGGAGCTGATCCTGCTCCTGATTGGAGGAGAGCAGCGTACTCGGCGTGTGGGCAGCCGAGTTAGGATTGGCTGAGGAGGACTATAAAGGAGGAGAGAGACGGCATGCACCAGGAACATCTAAGGGGAACATCTATCTGAAGGAACACCTGTGCAGCCCCCGAGAGAGCCGGCCGGCGGTGTGCCGCTCCCCCGCGGAAGTGGGGAATGTGGCAGGGGGAACCGCCCTTCCACGGAGGTGGAAGGGTCGGTAGCCAACCCGGGAAGAACCAGCAGCAAACCCGGGGAGGGCCGAGCAGACGAAAGAACAGCGCAGGGTCTTGTGTCGTTCCTCCATGAAGACGGGGAGCGACAGATGGGAAGTTCATCTCCATCCCCTGCCCAGTACCAGGTCCCACCAGCGCCAGAGGGCCACCTCTTGCCCAGGGCTCACCTAAGAGTGGTGTCAAAGGGTCACCTTCTTTGTCCCTTGTGCTAATGTCCCATGCCTAGGACAGGGTGACCCAGGAGAAGTGTGGCCTTCCCTCTCTAGATCTCCAGCTTCTCATCCCCTGTCCCCTGTCCCCTGCCCCCAGCCAGGGTCTGGGACAACCATGGCACCTTGGAGGAACTCGGATCACCGTCGGAGCCCCCTCCACCCCTCTTACCAGCTGTGATGTGCTGGCCATGGTGCTGGGCAGGGCAGCACCCCGGTGTGCGGGGGTGGACCTGTCCCCAGGGTCTCCACCTGCAGTGTGCGTGCCCAGGCTCTGACCTGACATCCCCAGGGTTGTCTTTGTGACAGCAAATCCTGCTAACACCTCCTTCAGCCTCACCCTTGCATCTCGACCTGTGTCCTTGGAAGGACACTGACTGGCAGCTGGCCCAGCTGGTCCCGCCGTGAAGTTTAAGTGCTGTCACCGAATAGGGTTGGTGAGACCAGCAGGGGGCCTATACCGTGTGTGTTAAAGGAGTGTGGTAACACAGGTTTCCATCCCGGCTGCCTCTTGATTTGTCAACGCATCAAATGCCCTCTGCACGCTGCGTGGGACAAGCTTGCTCTGGCTCCTGACCAGTGTGCCTGTGTGTCCCGGTTTGGGATCTCGCATGTGCGTTGCCCGGATAAGCGTTGCTGTTCTTGCACGAGGGTTCATCTTCATTCTCCTGCTCCACTAAGGAGCTTTGCGTCTCCGCGGACCTTCAGAACCGTCAACTGAGAGGCAAGGAAGCAGGGAAGGGGCTGGCGCGGGAGCGCAGAGGGCGAAGCCACCGCTTGCCACCCCGGCATCCTGTGTCGGAGCTGGCTTGACTCACAGCTCCTCCACTTTGGCTCTAGCTGGGAAAGTAGCAGTTCCTGTCCCAGCTGCTCTGCTTCGGATCCAGCTCCCTGCTAATGCGCCTGGGAAAGCAGTGGAGGATGGCCCCAGGGCTTGGGCCCCTGCCCCCACGTGGGAGATCCAGATGGAACTCCTGGCTCCTGGCTTCAACCTGGCCCAGCCCTGGCTGTTGCAGTCATTTGAGGAGTGAACCAGCGGATGGAAGATGGTTCGCGCGCTCTCTCTGCCTTTCAAATAACAAATATTAAATATATATAAAAAGAAAGGTGGGGCTGGCGCCATGTTTCACTTGGTTAATCCTCGAGCTGCGGTGCCAGCATCCCACATGGGCCCCAGGTTCTAGTCCCAGTTGCTCCTCTTCCAGTGCAGCTCTCTGCTGTGGCCTGGGAAAGCAGTGGAGGATGGCCCAGGTACTTGGGCCCCTGCTCCCGCCACCACAGGCGAAACCCAAGATGGATCCCCTGCTTCTGCCTCGCTGTGGGCATTTGGGGAGCTCGGTCTCTATCTGGGTCTCTGAAATAAAAAGGTTAGTGGCTTAAAACCACCTCCATTTAACAATGTTTCTTATTATGTATCACATTTAAAGAGGTCAGGACAGCAGTGGTCTAGCTTCCAGGAAGGTGCTGGCACACAGCAGGTGCTCACACAATGCTCACTTCCCTACCCTGGGCTTGCTCCCCGGGGCAGGGCCCCGAGTCCCCGTCTTCCTCTGCCCCAGACTACAGAGGGATCCATCTCATTCTGAAGCCGCCGCCTCGTTCCTGGGGAACGCACACGACTCAGGTGCATTTGGTAATGTGTGAGATGCTGAATTAAACATGTGAAGGTTTTCCGCAATAAGTATGTAAATATTCATCAAGATCTCAATCTACGGAAGCAACATGCCCGCGGGCTCCAATGAACTCCGCAGGTCTCCCTCGAGTGATCTGTGTGCCTGCCCACCCCGCGGCTCTGCAGCGCCCAGCAGCCTGACCTGCCTCCCCCTCCCCCGCAGGCTGGTCCCCCTCTCCTGCTGTGAGCCCACAGCACAGCCCATCCCCTTCCCACCAGGGCAACCCCGGGAAGACCGGGCAGGCACGCACCAGGCATCCATAAGGGCAAAGAAATTTTCCTCTCGCAATTGCGTGAATTTTGAAACACTCGGGTTTTTACGCATTTTTCACTCAGGCCGGGCACTGTATGTGGAAGCTCCTCTTCTCCTTCCTACCCCCTCCCCCACTTCCCTTTCTACTTCCTGCTGCCGCTGGCGCATCGCTGCTACAGCTGCAGGAGACCCGCTCCCTGCTGCAGGCCAGAATGCATCAGGGACAGCCCCCAGCCATGCACCTTTCTTATTTATTCATTTATTTATTTATTTAACAGGTAGAGTTACAGATAGTGAGAGAGAGAGAGAGAAAGGTCTTCCTTCCGTTGGTTCACTCCCCAAATGGCTGCCACAGCCGGCGCTGCACCAATCCAAAGCCAGGAGCCAGGAGCTGCTTCTGGTTCTCCCACGCAGGTGCAGGGGCCAAAGGACTTGGGCCATCTTCCACTGCTTTCCTAGGCCATAGCAGAGAGCTGGATTGGAAGTGGAGCAGCCAGGACTTGAACTGGCACCCATATGGGATACTGGCACTGCAGGTGGTGGCTTTACCTGCTACGCCACAGCGCTGGCCCCAGAAATAAAATTTTATACTGCTGTTCAGTGCACACATACAGGCGCCTCCTCACATGTACACCTTGGATAAGCATTGCACACTGACATGGTTGTTCTGGCTGTAGCTCTAACAGGACTGCAGGTCCCACCGGGGGGTTGGGACTTGAGTAAACGGTGACATAGCCAGGGAGGCTGATCAGGGTTTCAGCTTTGGACTCGCAGAGCCCTTGGGCTCAAGGCCCAGTTCCCCTGCCCACAGCTGTGTGGCTAGAGCAGGGTACTTGAGCTTTGTAACCTCAGTTTGCTCATCTGTGCAGTGGGGACAATGGCACTGCTTGCCTCCCAGTGCACATAAGGCCATGTGTTAGGCAGTTAGCATGAGCCTGGTTATGGGGCTCAGAATCCTCGAGCCAGGGCAGCCATTTAAAAGGGAGCTTGACACACAGTGTCAGGTGAGTCGTGGGGAGCAGCCTCTCACGCCATGGCCCACAGCCTTGTGCGTGAGCAGTTTTATGGCCAGGGCACAGGGGAGGACCCTGAGACCCGAAGCCTAGGCAACCTGCTTGGCTCAGAGCCGGAAACGCGAGCTGGACAGACGGGGGCTCCTGGCTAGCGGGGTGAGGGGGTGGATTGGCAGCTGAGTCCCTGCACCTAGCATCTGTCCACACTCTGCAGGGGGCCGCTGAGTCGCACTCTGAGTGCTGACGTAGCTGGTGAACGGCCACTCTGGCCATCGCCTCGCCTGGCTTCATTCCGTCTGCTGCCATCTGTCGCTTGTCACCAGCTGTCTCCTCCTGGTTGGATGCCGGGTGTCCCGTGGTGCTGAGAGAGGCACCAGCCTTGGGAGCTCAGCCCAGATGTGCCCTCCCCTGAAGAGCTGGGGCCAGCCCCACCTGAACCCCACGGACTGCACGTGGGGAGGGAGAGGGCGAACATCAAGGTGATGACGTCCGGGGAGAAAGCCTGTAGACTTTGGGCACTCAGAGCCGACCAGAACTTGCCGGCTGGAGCTGCTGGGGCTGCCGCTGAGACAGGGGAGGCAGGGGTTCCCCACCCAGGAGTGGAAATGGCACACACTTGGCTCAGGACACGACTGTGCTGCTCTCCAGTCAGGTGGCCTGGCTCAAGCACATTGTCTGGCCTCAATTTTCCTGTCTGTATAATGGGTGGGGGAATGGATGCTGTGCTGATATTTCAAGGTACTGTGGGTGCAGTCTGACATGGAGAACCCAGAAACACAGGTCACCCAGAAAGGGTTCTGGCCCCCTCTCAGAGGAGAGTGCTAGACTGCTGCTCCTTGGCTAAGCAGTGCGGGAGAACATCCCGGCTTCCGCGGAGCACCGGCCCGACAGCTGAAAACTGCACACTTTCCTCTCCCCGCAGGCCTCACCGGATCGGCCCCTCCCACCGTGTCCCAGCTCCTGGCAAGGTGAGTGAACGCGCGCTCCCTGTCTACTTTCTGGGAGGGTGGAGTGCTGGCTGAGCAGCCTCGCGCCTCCCGGGCCTCAGCCTCCCCACCGGGGAGGGCGCCTCCTGCTGCCTGCTTCAGGAACTGAGCGAAACGGGGAAAATGGCTTACACGGGGCCAGGAGCACTGCTCGGTGGGCGCTCACTGGGACTTTCTTCCTGCTTCTCTCTCCCTGTCCGCACCTTGGTTCCTCTCTCCCTGTCTCTCTTTCCTCCTCCCCCTCCCCTCACTCTGCCTTACCTTCTCCCTTCTCCCTCTCCCAGCCTCCCCCTCCCCGGCCCCCCTTGCGTCCTGCTCTCCCTCCCTCCCTCCCCCCCATCCCCCCTTCCCGCTCCACAGTGCCTGCATTCCACCTTGCCCCCAAATCCCACCAACTCTGGCGCCCGGGACGCGGGGCTTCCGGGCAGCACATCAGGTTCGCAGCTGTGGGGGGGCATGAAAACCCAGCTGCTGCCAGGGGACACCCTGGGGCGTGGAGCTGGGCTGCAGGCAGGGCTGGCCAGGGCCCTGGGGTGCCCTCCGGGACTGTCCCCCTGGACCCGCTGCTGTGTGCAGAGCCCCCGGTTGGCCAGGAGCCCGGTGGAGAAGCGGTTTAGAAGGAGGGCATTGGCTTAGCCTCCCTGTCCCTCCCGAAGGTGTCTCGGGGAGCTGGGGTCGGGGTGGCTGGGCCACGTGGCCGCACTGCCGCCAGCGCCTCCAGCGTGGTTGAGTTTGTTGCGTGTTTTGGAACAAAACGCAGCCTCAGGGCAGCTCCTCTCCACTCAGGGAGCCGGGTGCTCCCCTGGGCTCTGCTGCCCGGAGAGGAGAGGGGGGCAGGGGCCAGGGGTCTCCTTCAGCCCGGCCTGGTTGTAGCTTATGGTGGCTATTGGATGGCACCTGGTCACGTGATCAAATCTAGGCGGCAAAGAGGAGACGGACGTGAAATGCTAACCAGGATGAGGAAAGTGGAATGGGGTTTGATGAACACGTGCGGAGTCTCTACCCGGAGGGTGATGGCAGTGTTGATACCAGCCATGGGGGCCGGGGAGGCTGGACTGGGCTGGGACTCATCTTCTCTCCTCCCACACAGGCCTGGCCCACGCGTCCTGCCCAGCCCGGCGCCCCCAGCCATGGCAGCCTACGGCCAGACGCAGTATAGTGCGGGCATCCAGCAGGCTGCCCCCTACGCAGCTTACCCGCCTCCAGCGCAAGCCTACGGGATCCCCTCTTACAGTGAGTACCAGCTCCCCCTGGGGCCCCCACACCGAGCTCTTTCTAGTGCCCTGGCGCCTCCCTTAAATGCAGAACGATGGACGCAGTCGCTTCATTTGGGGTCAGAGACAGCAGGAAGCACTTTAAACATGGCTCCAATTCTAGAGATTATGCCAAGGCTTGTTTTGGCTGTAAGAATCAGAAACATGGCCCGAGCTGGTTTAGGTAAAATGGAAAGTTAATGATTTGCATATTTGGGAGAGCAGAGGATACCATGGACATCAGGTATGGCTGGGTCCAGGCGCTCACAGGATGTCACGAGGGTCTGGCTCGTTCCGTCCTCGGGGGCTTTCTGCTCACGTGGCAGCCGACATGGGGCCCGGCAGCTCTGGGTTTGCACCTTTCGGCTCCGCACCCTGAGTACCAGAGCCCGTCCTTCCCAGTCCGTCCACTAGAATCTGATTCAGCATTGGCTCAGACTGGGTCACGTGACCGCGTCAAGAGTAAGGCAAGGAGATAGTGGGCAGGAAGCAGGGAGAGCAGGGTGACTGTCAGGAGAACGCACCCTGGGGCACCCTCGGCAGCCCCCACCCCCGGCCTCGAGTGTGGGCGCTGCCCGCTGAGAACCAGACTCAGGGCAGCTGGCACAGACCCCACCCAGCCCGCGTCACTGCCCTGAAGCAGCGGCCTCTCCAACAAAGACATTTGAATCTGCAAACCGTGGCCCACAGGGAGAGATGAACTTGACGCATCTTGAAAATACCGTGTGCTGTATTTCACACCCTGACGTGTGATGCAGAGGGTGAGAAGCACGCAAGAGAGAAGCGAGCAGAGACGACTTATTTTAGGTTCCAGGGCCGGGGAGATCTTTAGCTGAAGCGTTACTTCAGCTGAGGGCTGCAGCGTGGCCATGTACAAGTGCTGGGGCGGGGTGGGGGGGATCACCCAGGCTGAGGGGCAGCGCCTACGGACAGAAGGAGCGTGGCGACCACAGCAACCACGGCTGGGCGTGGTGAGAGGGGGATGGGCCAGGTGGGCAGGGCCTTCGAGGCCCCAGAAAGATTCAGGGTTTTAGTGGGAGTGAGACAGGCAACCGTGCACGGGCTGGGTCCGGTTTCAGGCTGTTCAAGCTGGCTTTGGTGGCTCCAGGGGTTAGAATAGAAGGAAAACGGCCGGCGCCGCAGCTCGCTAGGCTAATCCTCTGCCTTGCGGCGCCGGCACACCAGGTTCTAGTCCCGGTCGGGGCGCCAGATTCTGTCCCGGTTGCCCCTCTTCCAGGCCAGCTCTCTGCTGTGGCCAGGGAGTGCAGTGGAGGATGGCCCAGGTGCTTGGGCCCTGCACCCCATGAGAGACCAGGAGAAGTACCTGATCCTGGCTTTGGATCAGCGCGGTGCGCTGGCCGCAGCACGCTGGCCTCGGCGGCCATTGGAGGGTGAACCAACAGCAAAGGAAGACCTTTCTCTCTGTCTCTCTCTCTCTCATTGTCCACTCTGCCTGTCAAAAAAAAAAAAAGAAGAAGAAGAAGGAAAACAAGAGAAGCAGAAAGACTGGTTGGGAGAGCGACCTGGCATGGCACGATGGAGTGTCGGGGGCCTGGGGAGGCATGGCCATGGATGGCAGACAGGGACAGGGTCAGGAGAAGCCCCCGAGCAAGTGACAGATCCCATCGCCACATCGCGTCCACCGGCATTGACTTCCCGTCACTCCCGCTGCTTCCTGGCCGCCCGTTGCTTCCATGTCCACCTCCATCGTACGAGAAAGGTCACTTTATCCTCCTGCCTTGATGCAGGAGCAAAGAGTGGCTCAGAGAGGGTGGCACACTCACCCCAGCTGCCCCGGCTGGCGGGTGGCGGAGGTGAATTTAAACCCCAGCAGCCGCCGAGCCCTGCCGCCTGCACGTGTGTTCTGTAAGCGCTGGGGAGGGTTACGGAGCATGGACCCTGGCCCGCAGGGGTGGGCATCCGTGCCTGAACACGGTGACTCGGTCCCTCGAGAGTCACCCCGCCTGGCCGACAGCCAAGAAAAACGAAGCCGTGTTGTTCACATCAAAGAGCGGGCCGGTCCTGTTCCCAGACGAGCCAGGCGCTGGGTGCAGATGAGTGTGGGTCAAAGGCTTTTTGCCGTCTCATTACCGTCGAAGCGTCTGCGCAGACGACGCAGCGTGGGCTCTGGGAACATGAGGCCCAGAGTTCTGCCGCCGGCTGCACCTCCCATCACTGCCCATTGTGGGTCCTGAGACAGCAGGCGAGGGACCGCACCTGGCTCAGCCTCGGTCTGCACCGTCGCACAGTGGGGACCATAGGAAGCCTGACCCCCCAGCGCGGGTCGTGAGGGTTTGTGTCGGGGTTGATTAGTGTTTTCCACTCTGAGCAGTCCGCTCTCTACCGCGCTCAGTTCTGCCATTCTACCATGAAAGCAGTGTGTAAACCCGTGGGGGTGTCTGTATTCCAATAAAGCTATTTACACAAGCAGGCGGTGGGCCAGACGTGGCCTGAGGGCCCTGACCTATGGGAAGGGCTTGGCTCCCGGGGTCCAGGCCCAGAGACCTGCCGGAGGAGCGGTGCTGGGTCAGAACGCTGGTGTCTCTGAGTAACAAGGAGGGGCTGAGAGGATGTCTCCCCTCACACGTGGCCGTGGCCGTGGCCAGACCTCGCAGAGTCTTCTCACAGCGCTTTCACCACTGCCCTTTGGCAAACAGGGCCGTTTGCTTGGATTGAAACAGCAGGGGGGAGGGGCAGTGAGCAAGCTCCAGACGAGGGGGCTGGGAGTGCAGCGCCCTTTCTCTCCGTGTATCAGAAAAGCACGGAGAGTATAACCCTACCCCGCCGTGCCCTGGCCCTCAGGGAGCTGGCTGTCCTTTCTTCTGAACTTGATGTTTGTCCTGGCCCTGCCTGTCTTTCTGTAAGGGTCAGGAGGCCAAGGTCAGGGTCAGCAGGTTGTTTTTTTTTTTTTTTTTATGACAGGCAGAGTGGACAGTGAGACAGAGAGAAAGGTCTTCCTTTTTCTGTTGGTTCACCCCCCAATGGCCGCTGCAGCCGGCGCACCGAGCTGATCTGAAGCCAGGAGCCAGGTACTTCTCCTGGTCTCCCATGGGGTGCAGGGCCCAAGCACTTGGGCCATCCTCCACTACACTCCCGGGCCACAGCAGAGAGCTGGCCTGGAAGAGGGGCAACCAGGACAGAATCCGGTGCCCCAACTGGGACTAGAACCCGGGGTGCCGGTGCCGCAAGGCGGAGGATTAGCCCAATTGAACTGTGGCGCTGGCCTAGCAGGTTGTTTTTAAAGGGCCAGAGAGCAAGCACTTTGGCGTTTGTAGAGCATACGGTCTCCATGGCAACCCCTCAGCTCTGCCACAGTGGCCCGAGAGTGGCCATAGATCGTGCGGAAGCGAATGGGCGGGCGTGTTGTGGCAAATCTGCATTTAGAAGAACAGGTGGAGGCCGCATCTGGCCTATGGGCCGTAGCTTACAGCCCCTGGGGATAGTTTCGTTTTTTAAGATTTCTTTATTTGAAAGTCAGAGTTACACAGAGAGAGGAGAGGCAGAGAGAGAGAGAGATCTTCCATCTGCTGGTTCACTCCCCAGATGGCTGCAATGGCTGGAGCTGGGTCACGCCAAAGCCAGGAGCCAGAAGCTTCCTCCAGGTCTCCCACATGGGTGGCAGGAGCCCAAGCACTTGGCTCATCTTCCACTGCTCTCCCAGGCACATCAGCAGAGAGCTGGATTGGAAGTAGAGTGGCCAAGGTTCCAACCGGTGCCATGTGGGATCTGGCACTGCAGGTGACCGTGTAACCGTTATACCACTTCGCCCACTCCCCCCAGTGTAGCCTTGTAAGCGTATCTTACGACTTGGTGCACATCTGTTGCATCTTTAAGCATGCATTCTTTTGCAGCTTGCTTTCGCCATGCCAGTAAAACGTGTCCCTATCTGTAGCTCATTCGTGTTCACTGCTGTATAATATTCCAGTACTTGTACCACAACTCACTTGCCCGTTGTCCTTTGGATGGTCACTGGGTTTCCCATTATCCTGGATGCTGCAGTCGGCGGGGACTCACTCACTCTGGCGGCGCGGGTCCATCTGCGAGGGCAAAGCCCTTCGGACCCAGTCCCTCCTGAAGGCCCGGTTCCCCAGCACGTTGCACTGGGGTTCCGTTTCCAACCCGGGAACGTGGGAAGTCTCCTCGGACCCGGCAGAGCACACGCAGACTCTGAAGTGCGAGGGCAGGGCTTTCCTTCTGGAGAGTTCTGTGGTGGGGGTGGGGTGGGGGACAGGGGCCCTCCCCCTTCTTTCCTGGTCTCCCCCGTGCTGTGAGTGTGAGGAGTAGCCAGAGCCTCCAAGTGACCAAGACCATCAGAAGCCGAGAGCTCAGCTGGGAGTCTGGGGCCTGGCTGGGCAGGCTAAGTCACACTTGGGGCACCTGCGTCCCCTTTCAGAGCGCCTGGGAGGGTGGCGGCCCGCCTCCCGCTCTGGTCCCGCTCCCTCCCAGTGCACCTAGGAGGCCTTGGTCCCTGCACCCATGGGGGAGACCCGGACGGATGGCGTTCCTGGATCCTGGCTTCTGCTGACCCAGCCCTGGCTGTTGCATGCATTTGGGGAGGGAACCAACAGGTGGAAGATCTCTCTCGCTCTTGCTGTGCGTGTGTGTGTGTGTGTGTGTGTGTGTGTGTGTGTGACTCTGAC